AAACTAAACGTGGAAACGTATCAATGTCAGTACAGGTTCAACGTGTGACTTGTAACATTCACGTGTTCGTGTGATTGTAAGGATTCAGATTTTATCATGTGACGTGACGGCAAATTTGTTTTGCTCCTGGTAGTGGTGATATCAAGATACACTTCACCTTCATTAGGAGCTGGATGATACCTTATTGTGGCTTTCCTTTCTGGTTGCAGTAGTGACACAATCAGAACTAAATGATCTGCTGAAAGATGCTGATTAGATGAATAATGACTATAACAAACACACAGCAACATTGTAATAATAGCTGCTCCATGTTTTGCTAACTGGTTTTAGTGGGATTAGGATTTAGTAATCATTTGAGTAGCCAGTGAACAGTGAAGCTTAGTCCATTGAACTAAAGTTGATTTAATAGTTGATTGCTATAGAATTCAGTGCTGTCTGCATTAATCTCGTTAAACTGACGTTAACGCCAAAACTGCATTAACGCGACAAATCTCCATTAACGACTTACCCGGGATTGCTCCGTGCGTGGCGCGTTGACCCCGTCCAGCGTCATTTTAATGAGATTAACGCTGACAGCACTAATAGATTTATATAAAGGATGGGTGTAGCCAACAGATCAGAAAGGTCCTGCTAATGCAAAACTGCCTTTTAAATGTAGTACCACTCATTAGGTAGATATTAGGACTTGGAGCTATGTTTCCCTTATGTGGTTTCAGGTGTTACTCACCCAAATACGGTCACATCAAGGTGGCAGTGGACATGATGTCAGACTTGAGCTTTCCAAAAAGTAATCCGCAAACCGCAGGGTGGCGATGCACAGCTCTGTTATATAGTCTATGTGGATTTTGTGCCACTTTTGTTCGTATGAGTCGTGTGTGTGTGTGCGTTTTGTTATGTGAAGACAATTTGAATTCAAGGCAGGAAAAGCAGACTGTACAACTGACAAGAATAACAGAATGTATTTGAAGAAGTAAATTATTAAAGTAATTACAGAATGTAAATGCATTGAACAGATACTAATGGGAAAATGCTGACCATATACAGCATCAAATATGGAGCGTGAACATAGATTCAGTTTTACTTTTCATGCCCTGTTTTTTGTCTTGTATTAAAAAGTCATATTTTTTCATGTTTTTCATTCCTTTAGAACAATTTTTATTCAGCCTCATTCTTTACAGCTATATAACCTTTATTCCCTGGAGGGAATTCAGTTTTCAGGGATGATGACATTGGCTATAATAAGGTTCAGCGCACATTGGCCTTCCTATCAAGCCAATCCTCTGGTGCTGGTTCAGCTTCAGCTGAGATGGGTCTCTCACCCATGGGTCCACAGAGATGGGCATGGCACGGGTCGGTGCCGAAATGGGTTGAATGACTGCACATCGCCCTGGAGTGTCAAGCATAACGTCATCCAGTGACGGCCCTTTCAAGGTCATTACTGCCCTACTGGTCTTTAGCTCCACTCCACTTTGGAGCAAGCTCATATGCAGTGTGTGAACTGAAACATTTCTAGTATTGAGGTTTTCCACATTTTTCCTAAGAGTGGACTCAGAATATTGGCCAGCCCTCAGTCCTCGTGAACATCAATGAGCGTTGGCTGCACATGAATATGGCACAGATTCACCAGTTGTCATTCCTTGGACCATTTTTAGTATGTTGGCTTCTAACGACTCCATACCGAGAACACTCCAAAAGACCTGCTGTTTTTGAGGTGCTTGGACCCAGTCATTTTGTCATTACAATTTGGCGCTTTTAAAAGTTGCTCAGTTCCTTACACTTGCAGTTTTCCCTGCTTCCAATACACTGACTTCAAGAACCGTTCTCCAACTGCCTAATATATCACATCTCTTGGCAGGTATCATTGCATAAAGATATTCGCATGGCCTGTCTTTGGTTTTACTGTTGTGGCAGACATTTGAGAATGATCTCTGTACAGTACATGGTATTGAAAAGGTTCTGCAAAGTACTAATGTCATTTATTAGCTTAGCTAGTCACAACATGGGCACCAGTATGAAAAATTAGATCGGAGATGTCAGCACTGACACTGCCAGCCAGAACCGGCTTGCAAAAATCATACTATTCAACAGAATTGACTGTTTTGTAGAGTGAAAAACTGAGATAATGAGGATGATATCATTTCCGCTGCATTGTGCACCAGGAACCACTGTCTCTTAAATCATTATATTATATATAAATGACACAAGAGTAGTTGTCCAGGATGTCATTTTCTCCTTGCATGTCCAACAACAAACACATTACCGAATTAAAAAAAAAACGAAACACATATTTACATAAGATATCTCAGGTTAAAGCACATTTGACTTATACATGATAATTTCAATAAAGAATGCCCTTCTACTTTTGAAACACTAAATGGAAATAATATTTTTGAAGGTTTGTTTAATAGAGTGTTGCAATGGTTTTATCAGCAAGGCCCACTTGAGATCAAATTGGACTGTATGAATATGACTCATGAACTAAAACGAGTTCGACAAACCGTCCTCTAGATAAATAATTTATGGCTCAACATTGGGCTGCAGGCCATTAACATTAATTTGAACACAGAATATCCATCAGAACGAAAAAATAGGAAAAAAATGTAATTTTTCTTAAAAGCCTCTCCAATATAATTAAACAACACTGCATGTAACAGCTTTTAAATTGATTTGTTTTTTATTAAATCCATTTAGTGATTGTGTAGTTTATTCAGAAAGTGTAATTTCTTAACATCTGTTGAACTACTTCCAGAGATAATCCAGAGTGCTGCACTACCAGTCCAGCCCAGATTCCAAGCTGATCTCAAAAAGTATTTATCAGTCTCCCAAATTCTGTTTTATGCTCTCTAAGTTTCTCATATATGACTTGGGTTCTTTTATCTAGTGTAGTTTTACTCATTATTTGCTCTTTCTTCACTTCTGTTTCTCAAATCTTTGAGGCTACCCAACTGTTTTAGAATCATTTTCTTTATTTTATTTTTTCATAGTCTCGTAATCTTTTTTTTCTCCTCATTTTGCCCTACTACTCATGAGCCCTCCACTTCTGATGCCCTTTCACATCTCTCTTCATCAGTCTAGCTCCCTTTCTCTCTAAGTTTCCCTCTCTCTTTTACATACCCTTGATGCATTCCTGCTGGCCCTAGTCTGTCCAAAGGGATTAATTGATAGTGAGAGATAATAAATCTTCCCATTAGGCGCAAGGCCCCTGCCCATCGCTCATTATGCACCTGCTGCTCCTCAACGGCATGGCCTGGGGTTTCCCCTGCTTTTTTAACACACACATCTGCCATCCCAACGCCAGCAAGGTTAATCTTTTTCTCTCTATCGTAGCAGATTGGCTCTCTCTCAAGACACATACTTGTTCATGCATGAAAGCCATTTAAAGCACACATGTCTATTTATTCTTTCTCTTCTTGTTTTTTTTTCCTGAGAGTTGAGAAGCTTGGATATGTGCACGCTGTTGCATGCAAATGCAACAATCTAGAGAATTTGAAAAAAGACCAGCATACAAAATCTTCAACTAAATAGGAAATATAACAATCTAGAATATGAATACTTATAGAATATGTCAAGTCTTCAGGTGTTTCAAAATGTCTCAGTTTCAGCACATAGACCTGTTCTGTTAAGAATGTATAATCTATGTTGTCATTTTTCTATGTTCTGTTATGATATGATCAGTTTTGTTTTACTGTTGCAAATTATACACTTTTTGGCCACTTTACTAGGTTATTTTTTCTTTTAAAGTGCCGCGGTTGTTGGTGCTAGGCCATTTGCTCTCACTATTTTAGACACTGCTGATCTACTGGGATTTCCCCGCATAACCATATGTAGAATTTACAGAGAATCTGGAAAAGAAAAAAAATAGAGAGAGGCATTTCTCTGGGTGAAATCCTTCATTGAAGTCAGTGGAGAATGGCTAGAGGGTTTGAGCTACTAGGAAACCAACAGTAACTCAAATAACCACTTGTTACAACTAAGTTTTAGTGTTAGGGTTGAATATTCTTTAAATGCCACAGCCTACTGAGCCACCCCTCATTATGCTTTGCTAAAAAAATTGGAAATATTTCAGCTAAGAAAATTGGTAATATTATAAAATATAGTATATAAGGCAGAGTGTGTACAATTTTAATGAGCTTGAAAGATAATGATCACTTTTAATCTTCAACAAAGCCTGAACTCTTCTAGGCAAGCTTTTCTGCAATTTCTTTTAGTCTTCAGGAAGAGTTCTCAAAGGGAGTGCCAAAGAGTTTGGTCTCTGATGGATTTTTTTCATATTTCTTAGGGACATGCCTTTAAGATACTATTTATCAAGTAAACATGTGATGCTATCATGTCAGCATAGACCAAAATCCATAAAGAATGTTTCCAGCATCTTGTTGGCAAAAGGGGACCAACCTGTTAGTAAGAAGGTTACCTACTAATGAATATACCAGTGAATATATTTTTGAATATTAATCTTATTTTCTATAGAAGGCATTTGGCTAAGATAACTTGGTTTATGCCATCCTATTATGCAGCCTTTCAGTTTGATTTCAAATCCTCGAATTTTGCCTGAAAGCATCAGATGTTGAGTCAAAGTCCTTAAACAGTGGGCACTGACTTCTCTTTCCACACATGGTTGTTTGTATTTGCAATTAGACAATATATTTTCATCATCATACTCGCTTGCTGTTATAAATTTTTGTTATGTCTTTGATGTGTCCTTATGCATTCTGCATAATGGCATAATGCATAGTCACTAACAGGTTCTTCATAATGATAATCAAAATCTGATTCAAGGAAATTGAATCTAATCCAGTAATTTTGGGCACATCTGTAAGCTTTCTAACATGAAGCAACCAAAATCACAGAAATGCAAATAGTACCTTGAATGTGAGATTCACTGTAAAACGTTTAACTCTGAATGTGTTGATACTGAAAGCTCAAAGATATTCAGTGATAACATGCTAAAGCCACATCTTTAGCACGATGGGACATCACTAATCAGTCAGTAGATCAACAGATATAAATAGTTTGTATTTTTATTTAAAACCTCATATAACCCATACAGCAAACTGTACAATTGAATTATTCACAGTGTGTTAAAAAGAAAATAATTCAGTAGCTTTTATATAGTATTTTGTCGATTTTCCCCATGTTTTACTCGGCTGTGGGTTATTCTAATGTTCTTTTAACACATACAGTTACTAGGAAAACAAAATCTTTTTTTTTCTTTTTTTTTTTACAAAACCTTACAAAAACTATATTCATAGAAATTCTGCATGTCCACAAAGAAAACCCTGGTTGGCACCAACATATTTATCATATTGTTTGAGAGGTTTTCTGCCAAATGATAGAAGCTTTGCAACTGAAAAGAAAGGTATACATAAGAAGGCATACCATCATGACTGCTAGAAAATCAAAATTCATATCACACACTGCTAATGGAACACACTTTTCTCCCACATTTCTTACAAGTTTGTGTAAAATGACATTATTCACATTAATTTATTTCTTAAAAAACATATATATTCAGTAATCAAACTGACTGGATCAGCCGAATCCGAAACCCTGTTGTAATTCCAACTAATCTGATGACATTTTGATTTACTTTCACATATTACAGACGTGAAAATCAATCTTAAGTCTTTCAATAACCTGCATGAAAAGCTACAGTTCACATGAGGGTAACAGTAACATAGCAGAACCATGTATCAACCACAGCCGCACTTTAGACCAGGTTGTCATCAGGATTTCATGAAGAGTGAAGGTCCGGGTTAGGGTTACGTAATATAATCCTACTCTAAAACAATGTCCCCCAAATTCTTAGGAAAGCTCAGCATTTCCATTTCATTTTCACCTCATAGAAATATACTCGCCATCATATAAGAAGATTTACATACTGTATATTTTTTTCCATCCGGATGATATTAATCCAATATACCATATCATATAATGCATTTCTTTTAAATAAATTAAAAAAAGGTGTGGGGCTATGGATTTGGGGTAAAGTGAGGAAGTAGTTAAAATTGACCTCTCTAATGAAATAAATAGCATCTAGAACATATTTACCTGTTAACAGAATTCATTTATAACAGTATAAATTTAGCAAAATACATTTTCTCCTGCTGATTTTATCTACATATTCTACTTTGCAGGAGGGAATTGATAAAACAATAATACAGTCAATCTCTACCAAATCAATGCTTAGTATTACAGACTGGAGTTTCCTTGAATCATAGATAGTTACAAATTATTATTTTGTTGTTGTTGTTGTTGTTGATGTTGTTTCTGCGTATCAACAATTTAAACCTCACAGAGGTTTGCTGTTCATTCAGCTTTCAGGCGACAGCAGCTCACAGACTCCTCGAATCTTTCTTGGGCACGACACTCGCTTTAGATACAGTATAGCATACAGTATATGAGCACACAAAACTGTGATCTGTCACCACATTGTCTTTCAGTATGTTCACACACGACACGTATGAATTCAGTCCACATCAGGTAATTGAAAAGAAGAATACGGACGTTCTGGTCGCAGATGACCTTCAGAATCTTGCTTTGCTCATTTAAACCCAAACTTATGCCCAGTATATATAACGCAAATCAATCATTTGTCCAAAAAGCCTGCAGATCACACAGATGAGTGAAGTGTTCAAAATGTCAGAAGCAGTTGGGACATTCAGTGGTCCTGTGGCCACATTTAGACACAGACCAAACACATATTTTAGTGAATATGTCATGCTTAAATGTTTAAAAAAACAACAACAAAAAAACCCCAAACAAAACAAACTGTTTCTCAGTTGTAATATAAACAGAAATGTCTGAACTAATGCCCTTCAGCCCAATCAAGAGTTAGAGATTTTAGAAAAACTGCAGGCTGCCACAACTAGTCAAAACTGCTTCAATATTTTCAGTATTATTATTAAAACTGTTTGACATTTTTGACTTTTGAACAGGAAATTGATCAATAAGTTTTCTTGTGTTGTGCAATGATTGTTTTACATTACATTTTGATAAACATTTTCTTTAATCTAAGTTGGTTTGCTTAACCATAAAATATAATGTATTTAGGATACCTATTACCCCGCATGGTTTGAACAAATATTACAACAAGATTATTACAACAAATTTAAAACACTCCAATTTGCTTTCCATTGGACTTTTCATTGGATGCAAGATTTGTGCTCCTAAGTGAACCGTTCTGCCCCATATGCTAATGTAAATGCTTCTACTGAATCATCATATCTTTGGCAATCATCATTTTAAGTTAATAAAATTTAGTCATGTACAAAATTATTAGACACAAAAGGTATTACTAGGACCATTATAGCAAGGTGGTATCTCTCGTTTTTTATCTCAACAATCCACTTTGCATCAGTGACTATGATTTCTTGTGTCTAACAATATAATTAATTACAAATTACAACTAACTTAATCGCTCAACTTTTAACTAGCCGTCCACCAATAACAATACTGCACATACTAAATTAGTTTTCCTATCCCTTTTGACTCAATGACAACCATTTAAGCCCAGACAACATGTTTGAGGTAACATTATTTTTTGCTGTCTGAGGCCATTGGGTAAAGGTAGAAACTCAATTTTTGCATGTGGCAAAACTGAACTTCAATCAGAGCTCCTTCCGTTCTCTCATTTATTGCCATTGTCCATAGAGCCATTCTTCTCGCTGTGTTCTGCTAAGCTTTTTCAGCCTGATTCAGGATTCCTTGAACATTGTTTTTTTTCTTGTGTTTCTATGTTGCGCACGTAAACATCAGACTTGAAACTGATTGGATATATACTGTTTCCTTTCTCAGGAATGGGCTTTTTTTTCTTTTCTTAGAACCTCACTGAATCCTGCTTTTACCTCTTTCAGTTTGGATTACAATGGTGAATGTTGTCATACCTGTGTGGCTGATGCTGCCATTTTCAGTTGCCCATGTTTTGTTAGTGTTCCCATGTCACTGTGGTTAATGCTGTATCTGGTGATCCCATCTATACCATTGTCTCTAGTCACTGGCAGTGCCCCTGAAACATTGCTCAGCAGGCTCTTGCCCTGTGGGGAACACATTGTCACGGGAACACAGGAGTCATCCCAGTGCTGCAGCTCATGTTGTCCTTTCCTGGGAGTCGTCGGTCGTTGTAGGCGTGCATGTTGATCACTGCATCCGTCTTCACCATGACTGGAGGCTGAGGTTTGTGTTTCACCCGTCTCTCGCAGGTGAACGACAGTCTGATCTCGTCCACCATGGCACTGCACAAAGACCTCTGGGCAAAAAGGGAGGATGCGGAGAGGGCAGCGAGAAGGAGAAGAGGGGAAAGGGACGGGGGGTAAATGCCTTAGCTTTAAATTGTTCTGACAGCAAAGAGTGTCGGCAGTCTAAGGAGCACAAAATGGATAAAAACATTTATGTTGGGTTAATTCTGGTATGTTTGCATTGTGTGCATGTGCATGGCTGTCATCAATATCAAACTGCAACACCACCCCACGTAGAGTTCACACAATTTATTGTTTCTGTGTCAAAAAAGTTTGGTGTGAGAACATGCAACTATTTTCTTAACATGACTCAAATGAATGATTTACAACAGCAAAGGCGTCATGATATTCTGACATCGCCAGTGACTAATAATGGATTACGTCTCTATGCTCCAATTTGCAATTATGCTTGTTAAAATAAGTAAATGTTGTGGTGTTATGGCCAAGTCCTCCTGGGGATTAGCCAAAGGCATGCAAATCCTTTTATAACATGTTTGAACGAAAAAGCCATGAATAGAGCACAGCTTTGGTTTAGCGGCTATATGGAACGCAGCAAAATAACAAAATGGCACATGCACCAACTTCTTAGCAAAAAGGTGAATCAAATACTAGTACAGTGTAATTAAATTAATTTCTAAGTAATTTTCCATGCATACTTAAAAAAATATATTCTTCTGTTAATTTATGAGGACATATACCTGCTCACGTTCCGCAGTCTTCCGTAGTTTGTAGATGAATTCAGCAATTGCCACAAAAACAGATAGCACTAGGCCAGATGCCAGCACAATGAATATACCACCCAGGTTCTGGATACCCATGGGGCCTGTTTCGCGATGCCGTTCATCCAGGCAGCTGCTCCCACTCCACCACTTCTCCTTTAGCATGTGTAGGCGCCCATCCTCCAAGATGCTTAGGATTGCTATGGAGATTTTGTCTCTGTACGGAGAGCCTGGAAGCAACATAAGGCCTATTTTACTTTGGAAGAAACACCAGCTGGACTCTGTGATAATAAGGTTCATAAACATGCTGTGACACACTCTCACTAGTAGCTTAAAAAAAAAAAAGTTTTATGTTGCTGCCACATCTGAATAGTAATACCTCAACCTCCTTCTTCAAAAAGTAACACATAACTTTTGAAGACTTTTCAATTTTTATAACTTCTAGTCTCAAATATACTCGTTAGCCATTTAAAAGTCCTACCGAGGGGAGTGCCGATGCCGTAGCCTTTGCTGTCGATAAGTCCTCCCACCTGTGTCAGGTTACAGTTCCTTCTAGTGATGTAATCAATAGTGGTGGACTCCGTAATGAGGGCATAGTCTGACTTTAACACCCTCTGAATACCATCTTCAATAGACTTCACCAGTGAAGTTCTTGGCCGGCTGCTCATAAAGGCCCACATCTTCTCAAAAGTAGAAACTCTAGATTTCTGTAAAGGATGAAAAGATGCCTTTTTTAAAAAGTGACTCATTTTAACAGTTCCCTAGCTGCAGGCGAGAGAAAGTAGCTAAAAAAAGTACAATGCTTCTGCCACTAAAAAAAAATCAATTTTAAATAAATAAATTTCAGATGTTAGATGCCCCAAGGTGTTAAATCTGAAAATACTGCTAACCATGAAATCTCTCTAGTCCCTCTGGAAGAAAAACTTAGGGGGATTTTTTCTCCTTCTTTTAAAAAAAATTGAATAGAAAATGTCAGAGATGACACTTGTTCATTTACAGCACTTAACAATACAGTTTCTTAGCTTGTGATCAAATAGATTTAAATGATTACCCATATCTTCTTTGTCACTAGATTAAAGGACAGTAAATTAAAGCTCTGAACATGTCCTCATAAGTGCTACTGAAGCAGCAATAATAGACAGCCTTGCCATTAGTGTTACATCGGGCTATGTGGTATTTCATGCAATTTTCTAGGAGGTCACATTTATGCCATGTCTAATCCTAGATAATTACTATTTAAAGAGTATAAGCCATTTCAAATTGTGAAAGATGCCACTATAAGAAGCCCTCTATTATTGTTAACTGCAGTATAAGCACAATCTTGGCTGCTTAAAACTGAGATATGATAGTCTGATATTAAAACTTTAAAGTACCAATTAAGATGTATGGCAAATGCTGCCAAGTTGGCATCTTACCATATGGTAGCTTAGTACGGCTTATTTGTGTTACAGCAGTGTGTAAATCACGAATGACTCATAATAAAGAACGTCTCCCCATCTTTCCCCAGTGAACAATGGGAGCTACATAAGGCATTTTTTCAGCCTATCATTAGTAGGTGGTAATAGTCATAGACAGGCTCCTTAGTGCACTTGTTTTAATCCAATGGGCAGCTCATAGGATAAGTTCTGGCCTATAGTGGTTGACTCTTTTTCTATAGAAACGAAACATGTGCTACAACACTATTATAATTTCATCAATGATTTGAAAGGTGTCTTATTCTGGATAAAGGTAAAACTAGACTTAGATTGTGTTATAAATGTGTTGAAATAATCAGTCAAATCTTAAATTATACACAATCTCAATACAATCTTAATCCCCAAATGGTAGTAACAGAAATCATCTGGTATCACAACCTTTTTGGTAGCTTTTTTGATCTCAGTCCTCTGTATGTGCAGCACACAGCACGTGTGACTCCATCCAGAGCAAAGCTACGAACAGTTGAATATGTTTTTCTAAATACGTTTAAGACCAAATGTATCCATTTGCAGAGGCTTTATCTGCTCCCTGGTCTCATCAGTATTTATCATGCTTCTCTGCCTCATTGAGTTAACATCATTAAGCCTTTCTGTAAGAGCAAGTAGGAGCAGAGGGCACGTGAGTCTTGGATAATTATACACCTGTGTCTCCTATTTATGATGCAATAATCATAACCGTGATTTATCAAAGTATAGAAACTGACCAAAAATAACAGTTTTACATTGGAAAAAGTTACAGAAATACAGATTATTTCTGCATACATGGTAAACTGGGATACTCCTTTACATAAGCAAAATGCAATTCGATTAATCATCAGCCCATCAATATTGTTTTCAATGTAAACATTATCAACAGAAAATATACATAAATCAAACTCGACAGTGAAGACTAAAGTATTCATGAACTAAAATACAGGATTTTCAGGGCAACAAAAAAAAACTAGGGCAGGCCCTGAAAAAGTATTCTTTTTTTTTTCTTCTTTATTCCAATTGAATATCATAATCTTATGTGTCTTCAATAGAAATGTGCAGTGTTTTCATTTTCTTACTCTGAGAAACTGTAACTCTGTTACATGTGTTATTCAGCACCACAGCAGCAGAAGCATCTGAAGCAAAGCTCAAAATAATGAAATAAAGTCAAGACCCTTCAGGCAATCGCTGAAACTTCGGAATAAAAAACATCATCTGGAACACATCAAACGGTGTAGAGAAGTGGAGAAACTAAAAAGAAAAAAAGCCTTTGCTGTGGGGATTAAAATGTAACTGAATTTATATGTGTAATATAATTCTGATAATAATACTACCATTTGTACCTTGAAGAAAGACATCGTTGCACCATCTTTGACCACGCCGTACTCGATTTTGGTCTGCTTGGCAATGTCGTCAGCTGAGTCCACAGGTGAATCCATTCTTTCCACAGTGAGGAAAGCTGCTAAATTAGCTGTATAGGATGATATGATGATGAGCGTGAAGAACCACCAGATCCCACCAATTATCCTGGTCGACAGGGCTTTGGGCATCAATTCTGAGCCTGTAGGCAACGTAGAGTGAGAGACTATTAAACAATTAGCTATATAAATCTGTACATGCCAACAGTGTAACTGAATTAAACAAATGCAGTGACATGACCATGCATTTTTGTTAATTGGTCTGCAAATGTTTTTGGCAGTGCCACTACTGTTGATCAAGGTACTGTCAATGAGGAAATGGAAACTGATGCGAGCTTGCCAGGTTAGCCACACTCTAAGCTTAGAATTCAAAAATGGCAGATCAGATCAGTGAAACTGTATGGTGCTTAGAGTTTTACATTATTTTTATTTATTTATTTTTTTCAAGCAAGATGAAAATGAAATAATTGATGTGTTTGATTGTATTCAGTCATCAATATTTTCTTAGAAGTCAGCTTTGGTAAAGCAACTGCAAAAGAACTTAATCTGTGGAAAAATTAGGATATGAAATCTTATGAAAAGCTTATTTATTTATACCCTCATGGCATTTCATAACTTATCATTTCTTTACATTGAGGTATTGTGTCAAATCATCGACACCAGTATAAAAATGAGAAGAAAATAAAGGTAAGCTATAATACCTAGCCGGACTGACAGTGCACCTCTGCATCAACCTCGACTTTGAGTGGTCCTCTGCTGAGTAATACTATGTTTACAATGGCTCACTGACTGGTGTTAAAGTTACTTTATATCTCATCTCTGACAACCTTTAAAATACCCTTGTGCTTTGTGCACTCTGTTACTTTACTGAGAAGATTTACGAGGGCAATTCTGAAGAGTAACAAGCCCACAGAAGAGGGGCAGAGTGGTCAGCTCTTTAACCTCTTCTACCAAATTTGATTGGATTTGTCCTTTGTGGTCTGACAAAGACTCTGCCTGGTTACAAACAAGGGAAGACAGTAGCATCCTTTAATTCACTATGACTTTAGAGATGGAAGATCCAGATGCATTCTCTTGTTGCACTAAAAACGAAGTGAAGCAACGTGTAACTCAATTGAATTCCACACTATAAAGCACTGCTGTCAGCAGGGAGCAGTATATGGTGCTGTATCAGAAAACTCTAATAAATACAAAAAGCAGATCAGTCATGTAGTGCCAGGGAAATAAAATGGTGTCAACATACCATACAGTTCTTTGAAGAAGGTCTCTTGTAAACCGAGGAAATAACAAAGTACTTTCTGGGAGAACAATACAGATCCTATGAGTAGCCAGCGCTTCACATCTTGGTGTCCAGGAGCTACACTGCCTTTTTTGACATTTCAGAAATGTTTCCTTTTTTAGTGATCAATTAACAAAGTAACAGATGAAACAATGTGTGTATTGATTAATATTTTACTATTTTGCAACAAAATATTTTACTTCTGGCTAGCTTTGTCTTGCATCCAGTATATATCTAATGGTAAGCTAATTAGCATTATGGCATTTTTTTCCTAAACTTTCTCAGAAGAAATGTCGATTTGGTTATTTCCATAACCAATTAAAGTATTTCTAAAATTATATACAATATATATTACAAACAGTGTATATATTATGTTTAACAAGCAGAAAAATGGTTTTAAACTAGTTAGCTAACCTAGCTAAAGCAATATCAATAGCTCATTAACCTTTAGCTGAAATAAAAATTCACTGTCCCTTGATGTATACATTTTCCAGTAAAAAGTGGTGAAACTTCTTGTATTATATTGCATGCTCACAAAAGAAAATATCATATTTTACAAGTTCAAAGTTAACTCATAAAGGCTTTTTAGGCGAGAGAGACTAAAAATGTTTACGATTTTCCTTAATAACTCACAGACTGCTTCCAAAACACTAGCAATGTTTTGATAAAATTAACATACATGTACACTAACTACAGGTGAAGTTGATATCTTTTCACTAATAAGGACATGACTATAATATTTATATTAATTCTATAGGCCACTGAAAAAAATGCTTCAAACTAACCCATTAGGCTAGACTATTCAGCAAAATAATTACATTTCTTTAGTACTATAATAATTTTTCTTTAAAAAAAATGTTTAGCCTATATACTTTCAATTTATTATAGATGTTGAGTACTGCAAGCTATAACTTCAAGGTAAAAATGTATTATTGAAATATACTGATGGCTGTGACATTACAGATTAATCTGGTAATTAAAATAAACTGACAATACAGCATCCAATCATTTGGATATATTTATTTGTGTAAAGCATTATATATTTATATATTTTTGTTATTATAAAATAAAAAAAAATAATTAAATTTAAATGTATATTTATCAAAATATTTTCATTTTCTCATGGTAAGGTATGTCATTATCACAAACAAGCACGGTGCCTACAATTGTAAATGTTAAAACATGTCACAGTTGCGTCTTCTTACTATTGCATCAGATCTCTCCTATTGCACATTATAAAGTTCTTATCGCCGATACAGCAAAGCAAATCCTTGCTCACTACAGCATTTGATTTGCTATACTTTGCTAATTCTACTTAAATGTGAGCAATAACAATGCTTCAAAAACTACGGTCATCGCTTAATATTGAAAAAAAAAAATAGCCCGGCTGATTTTTGAAAGTTAATTTGAACTGAATTATGTAAAAATTGTAGTGTTGCATTTTTAAGATTATGCATTATGCAGTACTAGTTTCGGTTGCTCTCTTGTTCACAAGAGGTCGCCACAGCAGGTGGTTCCGGATTTTTGATTTATTTATTTTTTCCTGATGCAACCCTACAGGGATTTGCATTTCCTGCCGGAATGGAACTAGAAATCTTTCACTTGTTATTGAATGTGTAAAGGTCTTCATTATAGAGGCATTTTGATTCTATATTAAGATGATAATTTTACGAGTTCTATATCATTTTGAATGAAGTCTTTCTATTTTGAAATAGTTGTTTGAGTTGTAAAAGGATTTTTTCCTTCTTTTGTAGGCTAATGCATGATAAATATGCCATCTCTATAGCTACTACTAAGCATACATTCATCAAAACACAATAATTAAGAAGTCTCTTTGACAGTATGATGTTATTTTCTTCTCAATAAACGAACAGATTGCTTTGCATCTAATAATGCCTTTTGAGTTGTCATCCTTGGGGGGGAGAGTAAGAGTTTCTCTTTGAATTTAGAAATGCATTGTGCTAAGTATGATGCACCTGGTTTTCTGGAGTGTTTCTTCCCACAAGCAATGTCTCACCTCAACACTAGCACTCGGCTTTCCCATGAGAATAGTTACCTGCACTTAGCATTCTCTTCTACGGAGTCAGACAAAAACTCCTTTTCCAAGCTTGAGGCTTTTACTTTTACTTAATTGGTTTAAAATAAGGACACTTGCGAATGGAAATGTTTGTCCCATTGCACGCAAAGTAGGCTAAGTAAATTTTGATGCCATTCTAAAAAAAATAAGATACAAAAAAAGCAAGGACATTGTTCCAGTTTCTCAACCAGAGTGAGAGAAACCCACCTCAATGTAATAATGTGTAAATAACAAAATCAAGAATGCTATATTTAAAATCTTAAAACAAAAAATCATGGTAAAAATACATTCACAATCCTATCTATATTATGCAGGGGAGATGTGCTTTAATTAATAAAGAAACGATGTCATCTCAAAAATCAGAAACTGCATTGCAGTGCTTATTTTGCAGAAGCCAGTCTGCAAGAAATGATCACACATGTTGTGAGCAAAAACCTACCGAGACCCCAGGAACACATCTGAAGCACACAAAGTGTTTGCTTTTGCACCTCCTCATATTTTATGTTCTTTGTGTTGTCTAGGACACCTCCCTCCCACAGACAAGCTGGTAGATATTTTTTGGATTTTCTCAAACACGTCCATTTGCATTTTAAACATGTCAAGGAAATGGCTTCCGTCTCAGCTGCTGTCACTGTGTTTGGCAGACAAGCAAGGGAAGTCTGTTTATGTGACACAGACAAAATATAACTCGCTGCAGATCCCACCGTGCAGCATGTGTGCAAGGTACCACAGCACAAATGTGTGTCACCGAATCCCAGAATCAGTCTGCGTCCTCGCTTTTTTTCACGTCGAATCTAAATGTTGAAATATACGTTTGACTGTACCTCACGGAGAAACAGTGATTGGAACACTAACCTTATATTAACTTGATATCCTGGTGTGAAGAAATTTATTCAATGAACTATGAAGAGCTGATTAGCAGCAGACGCATCTCTAGTCAGCTCCAGCAGGCTAAATAAGAAGAACTGGAGCTGAGGCATTTACAGAAAACACTCTATGAATTATAATGAAAAATTCTCCCCAGTTTAGTTTAATAATATAGGCTACTAACTAGCTCATTTTGTTTTGATTTTCTTTCTCCTCTCCCTTCCAGCCCACTGGTGCTATACTCATAGCCCTCTGTCTGCACCAGCAAATTGGCAGAGCTGCTATGCAGTTTCACAAGAGTGCCGCCGAATTTCTGTGCTTAATGAATTGCTGAATGTGTTTGCTATCCTTACGGGCAAAGATCCACTGCCGAGTCTCACTAAGCCTCCTTGATTTGTCTTGTTACACTGAGGTTAAACATTTTTGTTACGTCGGTCTTCTTCTCCACAGTTGACTTCATTATGTTATTTCTGGGCCTTTATTTGCCTACCTATCCCTTTCGGGGACACCTAGCAATTGCCTAACAGCAAACACTTATTTATATCCCTCTTCTTTTACTTAATAATATTACATCGACAATACGCTTTTTGATCTGACACTAAAATATATGATGACTGAGTTCAAAATGATAAGGCATCAACAGTGACATAAGTTGGTGGGCTACTTGTTGGACAGTTATAATTGAAGCATATGGATTCTCTACACCCGGCCACTCTCAGCGCAAGCCAAGCAGTGCCGAACACGTCACAGCAGCCAGTTCGAGCATAGCTGACAGCTGGCATTTGTCAAACATGTTCCTCAACTTACCCTTTGCGTCCTCAACATTCAGAAAGCTCTTGAGCAGGGCCAGTGACTGTGTAACGTGGAAATAAATGCAACGATGTTTTCCACCCTTACCCGCCAATCTCTGACAAGTGCCTGGCACCTACTCTTCCCTTTTTAAACAGCAGGTAGGTGACAACAGCTTCCCTTTGTCATGTAAGACTGAGCTCGGCAGTTGTTCTTGACAGGTAAATGTCTTATGAAACAGTCACGGAATGGAAATCATGGAGCTTGTCAGTTAAAGAGGCAGAAAGTGGGAGCTGGTGGTGAAGAGAAAAGGAGGGTGGGGGTGACAGGATTGTTTCTGACAGGAAAGAGGATGTGTGCGCCGCCTTACCTTGTTGCATTAAGGAACCAACTCCAAACCAGAAGCTGTTGAGCAGGGTAAAGTTGTTCTCCACCACATCTGATCCAGGATTGCAAGGATGGGCGTCATACCATTCGTATGGACTGAATCTGGGATTAAGAGAAGTTGGAAAGGAGTCTAAAACCTCTACCAGTCGCAAGATCAAAGAACAATAGTATTATATCTTTTACATCATTCTTGAACAATGTTGAATAGCACTGATATTTCAGAGTTTCATCTTTGGTTTAGAGTAAAAGAGCTAATGATGCATTAGACAGCAACTCTACAAGCACTACTTAAAGCACGATTAATTGATTATTAGCAGCAAATTAAGCTGATTATTAGCCTCTACAGTTGATCTGGGGAACATATAAGCAAACATTTGTCAAGCTGAGGACCAACACCAATAATCAATAAAGTAATTGATCTAGAATTTTGTCTCCATCATCTGCCTTAATTCTGGGTAGTAACTCTACAGCTTTAGGCCTTTTTTCACTAAGAGTAGCTCTCTGATAGTCTTTTAATAATACAAAGGAATAATGCAAGCAATAGATTTGTGGGCTGATGAGTTACAAAAACAAAGGGGAGTCACTATGGGGGACTCCGGAGTTGGTCGGTTATTTTGGCCACGAACATGGCTATAATGTCTGGGGGAAATATGTATAATATAGTTTATATGCAGTAGCTGGAATGGTGCAAAAACTTGTCAAACTATTATCAAATGTCACATCAAAAATTTAAATACACCGGTCCTAGTTTTTTAAGCCTTACCTCTGGAAACCCCCTTGACTTATTCCAACATGCTTTGGAGTTAAAGGTGACGATTGAAGCATTAAAATACAATTTTTCAGAGGGTGTAAAATGTCATGTTTGAGAATGTGAGGAATAAGGACCCCTGTTAAAGTCACATGAAAGCATAAAGCATATGCAACTTTCCATATCTGTGGCACCCACCCTCCACCCCATGCAACTTTACTGCACAGTAGGACAGAGGCTGGGAAAAAGTATTAATGTTAACTATATTTTATTCTGGCGTGCTCATGGCAAGAATTGTGTCATCATTACCTCGACGTGTCTTATTTGCTAATGTGGCAGAATATGGCATTAGATATAATGAGTAACTAAAACAGTCCACTGACTCTCCTATACTGAATCTTTGGTTGCATATTTTCTGTTCTGAAGGGATATGGCAGGAATAATCTAGAAAGATTGAATTAACTAGAATGTATATTATGAAAAGACTAATAGACTTCAATCTAATTACACAGCGCAGAAATATTTTCTAATATGTCAGCAATCTATTTTAATCTGAGGGCGAACTGAACCGATGGTTAATCATGAAATAGACAGAGGCTTTTCCAGGCGTTATTCATTAATTCTAGTCTTATTTAAGCATCCAGATATATGAACTGATGAACATTAAAAGACTGTATTTGCTCACTGTGATCTTGCCTAAGTGTTCTTTCACATAGACTAAAATGACAACAGCCACATATACTCACCAGTGTTACTATCTTTAAGTGTTTCCATTAGCATTCGCGACTCATCTGCCCTTAATAACATTTGCAGACATCAAAGAGGCCTTGGGCAGCTGTTGTACAAATGTGGTGCTCTCTAACATTTTAATGAATTCCTTCAGTCTCATTTTGTTTTACTTTAATCTTAAATTGAAAGCCTTGGCCATGTAATATGTGGTAGAGGCTTGGAAAATAGGAGAGATTTTTGCAGCCAAAATACACACGAACAGGACTTAAACAGGACACAAATGAGGAAAACCAGAATGCCTTTTTTCATTATTTCAGAGCATCTCCTACATAGGCAATGTGAGAGTACTGATTCAATCCTCCTGATTTCTCTGCTAATGTCTAAAAAGGTTGTGCTGTCAACCAGAGACATAAGCATGTTTCAGACTTCATGCAGCAGCCTACATGCAGTAGAGTGATGCTGCGGAACAAGGTACTGTGCATTTAACAGAACTCTCCCGGGTAGGGACTGCAAACGACAGTTTTTTGGATTCATTCAATACATTATGTGTTGCTGATTTATGTTATTAGATTTACTAGTTGTGATTTTAGTAAAAAGGGCAACTCTAATACAACATTTTTTTTGTACATTCTCCTGTGGCCATACTTCCACTTGATGTGGACTTTTTGATCATGTTTTCTCGCTGTAGTTGGTAGGTAGCCAAGCAAAAGTGTACTGATGACACAGTGGCTGAAGTATTAGAGATTTTGGTCTCACTTTGTTATACGTGTACCTTCTTTAGCTAAATGCACATGTCCCAAATAACCATTAATTTTCCACCATTACAAATTCAGAAAGCGACTATAGGTTCTGCTTTCCACAGTGTTTGATAATGTGGCTATGAGGGAAAATAAACTTAATTTCTACACGACCAAGAATATAGTTAGACCAACTGCATACCCATAGAAATAAGGACCTGGAGACAGCATGGTAATTAAACGTAACAAAGCAAAAGGCTCATTTTTGCATTCACAAACATTAGCTTGCTAAATATATACTACTCCGGCACAGTTTTTTAACTTTTTTGTCATTTTTTTCTGTTGAAATGTTAGTGCTGCCAGTTATTAAATTACATCTATTTTCAGACTATAATAACAGCACTCCTTGTTGTCTGTGAATGATTTCAGTCTGGATCATTGGAGGACCAAATCAGCATCTGTGATATATTCGATGTGGCAAGAAAAGCTTACCCAAAGACATGTCTTGCAATTAGCTCTAAATAAAGTGGATCTCATAGGAAGCACACAAATACCAAGACTAACTAGACAAGAAAAAAAAAGGCAAAATGCGCTGATATTGCAAACTGATTTAATGTAGCACATTTAATCTAAATACACCTTTGTGGTTCTAATGATTGTAACATTTTTTTTAACAACAGTCTATATTTTTTATTTAATTCCCACAAAAGGACCAAGTTCTTAGTGAAAATCTAACGATTTTAACATCAACACATATATAGTGTTGATTCCAATCTTTGCCTACAAACGCTGGATTTTGGGGTTTAGAGATTTGTTTTTAGGCAACAGAAGTAAATTGTATATTTGGGGGGGATATTTCTTATTGAAAGTGAGACTGGCTCATGGAAATGAAGGAACAGGTCACCCAGTGCAAAAATGTGTTTTCTTTAAAAACAACAGAGCTTCTCAGCACAGAGGAATAAACTATAAAAGGCTTTGGAAACACAGGTAATCATTCTTAGTAGGATCTGTGTTTTGTCAGGAAATGGTCTTAGTGGATCTTTGAATGGATATCACTAGTCAGATCATTTGGATATCACTGTATAATAAATATCAACGGATCAAGAAGCCACAATATCTTTACATATTGAATATGTTGTGTAAAACCACACACTTGCTTAGTTGTGCGTGTTAAGTGTGTTATACAGACAGTGAGAGTATAAATGCTCATCCACGTCAACAAGTTACAGAGATTTTCAGGTTTATTGGTGAGGGAATGTTTTTTCTTCGGATGTATTATCTTCAGGTTTTAAATGTGTGAGGCAAAAATATTCAGTCTTTGCATCCTCTCAAATCATCTCTAATTTTAATATATAGGCGATTTTTTCCAGCACAGTGTTACAGCATAGTTTATATGCTATTTATCTGTGGATAAATAAGTGATCCTTCACATCATAAATATTGTATTTCATATATTTCTAATATCTTTGTTATATTTATTTGCCTAATATCGATGACAATACACTGACGCAAATGTCCAGCGTTTGAAATGGCCTATTTGTGCTTGGAGTAGCCCCCTCTCTGTTTTCTGTCATCTGCTTTATGCTCAATTATGACGCACTTTTAGGGATGCGACTCAGCTATCTAGGCCAGCCTTCAAAAACTTGATGCAACAATTTAAGATGATTTTGCACTTATGTGAAGCCACTCCAGAATTTGTTTGGTCTCACAACAGCAAATGAGGATAGAGGAGTGCAGCTGTTTGCTCTCAAGCCCCTGAACTCCTTTCAGTGCTCGCTTTTCTATAACTTCCTCAAGCACCACTTTGCATGAGAAGCAGCAGGAAATACAGACAATGACACTAAAAAGATATTCATCATATTCATGACCAAAAAAAAGTGAGATACTTCTCACCCAATCAAACAGATAATCTCCCTCCATTAAAACTGTGACTGACTTGTACCAGCCTGGAAGTTCATTATTTATAATATATGTAAATGCTGGTGATCAACTATAAATAGCCTACTCTGATGCAATTTTACATCAGGTGTATATATTCTTTTCTTTTTGCATGGCTGAATATGACAATTATATATATTTTTATTTTCTTATTTTAGCTCGAGGCGAAATGAGTACTTTTTGAAGGGTTGGTTCAAGATGCTTTGCCAATTCCAAAGACAGCACACAGGAAACAAGAAATTGCCCTCTGAATAGGACTTTGCAACTCAACTGGAGGTTTTTGTATTCCTCCCCAACTGCTGCGCTGAAGAGAGCCCATGCAGACAAAACTGCCTTGATCACTACCCAGCAACTAACGCAGTATGATGAACTGGCTTGGGTACTCGAACCCCAGTCTGTGATGATAGAGTAAATTACTATGTCTACTGGAAGACCTCACAGAGAAATAGCATGTAACTTTTTGCACTTACCTGGCAATGACAAAAAGGACACAGCTAACACCCAGGTAGGCCAGGAGGATGTAGACCCATATGTCGGGAGTCATGGGGTTCAGGAAGGAGAAGAAGCCATTGTTGGTAGTATTGGGTTTGCGATACAAGATGCTGATGCCCATGCTCATGAAAGGCTTGGAGAAGTCGATGAATTTTTCACGTACATAAGTGATGGTGAGAGGAGCGACTGCCAAGTCTGCTCTCTGTATTAGGGGAAAAAAACCACAAAATTTATATAGATATATATTGACTATATCAAGTTATCAAGTTATATCAAAGTAGACACATTTTCCCAATAGATGAAACGGGGTCCTATTTATGAGGCCTTATATAGGGTCACAAGTATGACATATGACACCATACAGCGTCATGCAGTGAACAAGGCTGAACATGTCGGGATGAGGTGCATTTACCTATTATATGTGTATGACTACATATTCTGGATGTTACCATTTGTATTGACAGCCCCCACTGCTCCCCTGCACCATGGCTGGACAGGAGGTTAATGAAACCAGCTGCTTAGTTCACGCTCGAATACCTCTTTCCTCCAAGAAACGACACAGCTCACAAGGGGAGGCTTTCTTTACTTTCTACATAGTGAGCAGTGGGAGAGAACCAGAGTTTGCTCACCGTACAGCTCTTTAAAAATAAAATTAGTTCTCGTGTTTGCTTTGGAACTTTATGCAAAACTTCAAGACCTAGTCCTATGTGAATTAAACCTGCTAAACCTACGCAAACCTAATGAAATAAAAATTACCCAAATGATTCACCCATTCGACTTCTCTGTTCTTGGAACTCATCTATTATATAGCATACTCTGTGGTATGTTTGCTGATAGTTGATACCATAATACCACCGTCTTTTAGTCCAAGTTGTCCTCTAAGGATCCTGGGGCTGTTCTCAACATGAATTACATTTTCTCTGTGTCCTAGGCAGCTCTTCTATCAGATTCGTATGATAACTACCACGTCGGAGTAAATAAAGGTTAGAATGACAACATTTTCCCTTTGCATGTGGCACTGCAGATTACATACTCCTGCAGTCCACGCCATGGTAGTTAAATGCACAGTGGCGTTTTCTGAAGAGACAGAAAAATGGGAAAACCAGCGCATCATGCTGTGTATCGGTTGTTTCTCTTAAACTATTCAAATTTGTAGATCACACACTGCTCCCTCTCTTCTCCACTGCCTTGAACCAACCTGCCACTCAACCGTAAAGTCAGCCAGCATGCGATTCCACAGATCCCTATGGAGGGCTAATATACATGCCGCCTGTCCTTGTTCTGCTTTGTGCTTACCAACACAAGCTGGGCACAAGCAAGATAACCTGATAGTGCCCTGCTATGTGCCACATGGCTTGGTGTTATCTTGGTTTGCAGATGGTGGGCGTCGTGGTGTTGTGTACCTAACAGCCTCGAGGATTCGAACCCACTGAATGTACACAGAACGCAGAGTACATAACAGTCTTAGTCTGTAGCTATTTATTATTTTGCAAATGAATAAATATAGCACACTAAAAGGGTCATTAACTAGTAATAACCGAACAACCAATATTTCTTGATGAAACACTTGGATGTAGTTTTTAGTACCAAATATCTGCATTTTATAGTGGGTTATAAGGATTGCATAGGATGGACATATGTTGCTGCCTTGTTGACCTTTTTTTTTTCTTAATTTCGGATGCATTGATAATTGGTTGCAGCAAACGTCCTTGTTAGCTGCCACCAGCCTATCTGCAAATAAAATGATGTTTTCTGATGTCAGTGGCTGATGTTTATCTCTTGTGTCACATCAATTTCACGCTCACTGTATTTTTAAAGATAGTGCGTAAAGCTGAATGGGTTTTAAAAAAGTTGATTTATGTTCATTATGAAGTTTTCTTTGTTTCCCGTGCACGGAAAAAGTGAGAAAAATAAATAGATCCATGTCTGCTTCTGGTCAAACTGTTTGTTTGTTTTTTTTTTTCAAACGTGACTATCAATATGGGCTCTGAATTTCACAGCTGGTGCATCTCTGCCTTTTATGAAATATTTAGAGCTGATAGAAGTGCATACTGTGTGTTGCTTCAGTAGAGTGGGTTCTAATTGCAGAAACCCCCTCCTCTGAACTATGCAATGGTTACTGAAGATAACAGGCGGCAATTTCTGATATAGGAATGCTGAGGGAAGATAACACATACGGTATGCCTAGCCACTCTTACATGCATTTAAAAAACTGCTGGTGGAAAATAAATGCGCAGTGAAATACATACAAAGCACATGAGCATAGATGTACCTCTTATACTATACAATGTAGTCTCGAAATATACAAAGGGTTAATTATGAGGCAGGGATGGTGTAATCAAGAAACTGTCACTTTGCATCAGCTGAAGGTTCGGAGTGTCGTGGCGTGTAACTGTGATTTACTCAAGGATGCCTTGGCAGGCGGGACATGTTTTTGCTGTTGTGGCAGCTGAACTTTTGTCCTTGCAGCTATGGGTCTGTCACTGTCACCACCATATCACGCTGCTGTCTCACATAATAAATAAATAAATACAAAACTAAAGATAAAAATAACTAGCAATCAAAATGACACCTGTCCATCTAGCATATGCTGATCATAAGATTTTTGAGGCCTTGGAAAATGTGTTATTTAACTGAAAATAGGGTAACTACTTCTTGTGGAATAAATCTAATCAACTGTGTAGCAATGTAGACAAAGAGGAAGTGGGCTGACTATAATCTTCCAGTGTATCTGTCGAAGCAAAGATTAATTGCCATGACAGAAACAAATGATGTGTTAAGGACGCCTTTAACATTTGCATCACAGCATGATTAAAGTGATCATCTATTGTGACTAAATCAAGTTTAACAAGGCCTGTTGCATCATTTAGCACCTTCCAAACAATGCCCTTTGGCACTGCAGTGAGCTTTGTGACTGCACAGAGGAAAATAAAGCGCTACATGTTACACAATGCTAAATCGTTGCGCTTGGCAACACTGCAGTTTCTCATTCAAGTCTCCAATTCTGTGGCGAGTAAATCATAACTGACTTTCATTTTCATACAAAAAAATATACACGGGTTTTATTCTATTTCTGTAGCTATCAGTGTGAAAATCTCTGTGAGCTGCAGGGATGAATGAATTTAACACTAAAACTTGCATTTTGTTCACTTAAACAGACAATTGTGCAATTATGCGATGCAGTGATGATTTGAGGGTACAGTGGGCAAGTTGATAGCAATAAAAGTACAAGTCTCGTGCTTCAGGACTATTTTTATCACTCAAAACCAACTATTTCCCCTGCTTTCTACCTAAGACCCTATCTCGCTAAGCCGCAGTAAACTGTTATACAGCTTATCTATCTGTATCACAAGGGGGGAAGCAATGGGGGGCTAACATAAAGTAATTATAAATACACAGAGAAAAGATAAAAAATGTCAGCTACCTTCTGTATCTCATTGTTAAGAGAAAAACAGAAGAGGTGAAAACATTCTTTGTTGTTATCTGTTTTATAGAAATATACTCCTTCCAATAGTATAGAAAAATAGAAACTTTCTGCACAGCATGTCTCAGTTTGACCCAAAGCAAAGAAAAATTACAGCTGCAGTATAGTTTGCGGTCTGCTCTCAAGAAATCTGTATCCTTACAGTTCTCCCATATCATCTCAGGGTCAGATCTCTTGAGCTTGCCTTAAAGTTTACGTTTCAGGTCTGCTGAATTACGATCAGCTTATCCATACCAGTGGAGTAAGGAAAGCACTAGACCACAAAATAGAACTGACTAAAAATCCACAAAAAACCCGTCTTGCATCCTTGGCCATGTGATAAGAAGCAGTAAAAGCAATAACCAGCAGTATAGATTCCAATCTCCTCTTCTGCTGCTATTTACAAAAGCAATAGATATAAAAAGGTTAAAATAGACCGTATGTGTGCATCATAAAAGCATTTAAATCTATTCCTTTTTCCAATCTCTGTTACTTAAGAATTTCTCACTTTCTGTAGCTATAGACTAAATGGTGTTACATTGCTGTTTATGTGTGTTCAACAGCTTATGTTCATATTTAAGCTGAGTGCAAAGGTCGTAATCACCAGATGCCACCGTTTTGCACTGTTTTTTAATTTTAATTTTATTTTTATTTGGCTGGAAGCAGATGAACAGACTCTGTGGCCACCTTTGAGTCCTCTCTTTGAAACCAAAGAATGCACCAATAACGTATGTGTTGTTTAATGATGGAGTCATGCATCTCTTTTTCGTGCCAGCTGTCTCTCCCTTTGGTAATCTATTTGTTCCTCTAAAGGTTATTGTTATCAACACGGATCTAGCAAAAAGCTTGGACGGAGAAATAAAGTGCTGCAGTGGGAGCCCACCTTTTCCAACCCTTTCAGCACCAAGCCATTGACTCTTGCCATACGATTCCCTGCACTAAATGCCACTTAAGCTATTACAAGTTTTCAGCTGAGTACAGCGCTGACCCGATGGGGCTGAGGACAAAGAGAGAGCACTGACAGGGACACTTATGAAATGCCAGCAGAGAATTGCCACCATCGCTTCGATGCGAAGCAGTTTCATGGCCACTGAGGCTTTGAGTTTGACATAGACAGCTACGATTGGTCGCTATCCCTCAGAAAGATGATTGCCATTGTGTTCCCCTGAATCTATGCAGCGTTACGCGCTCATCCTAGATCTGTGGTTTATCCAGCTGAACGAAATGGCCTGTCTTACTAAATGACATCAACACACTTGTAACTTTTGGGCAACCTTGACATAATTGTGCCATAAATGTAACTGACAGCTTTGTAGGCTCCTTGTGACTTGTACTCAATCATAACTATATCACTGTCCACATGGAGGACATAACCTGTAATCCAGCTCAATGGCATGCTTTTGTAAATGCGCATGATGATGCGAAAGACTTTGACTGTTTGGAGCCATATAAATCAAAGTTTAAATCATTACACTTTGATAATAAAATGATTTCTTGTTAAAAACTCCCTACAAATAAAAAACAGTCTGGCTCATAACCACTATAAAATTACAAATTTGATTGTTTTTGCTTCTATTAAACAAATACCTCATTTTGTCTTAAGCTTTGGAGGTTCTGATAGGTGTGTCTTTTTTTTTATTGTTTTGTTTTGTCTTTTAAAGATTACAGCTATATATCTATTATGCACATATGAGCATATAACACTTCTGGTCAAAAAAGACGTCAACAAGGAGTAAAACTTACATGTTCTATAAGTTCCCTAATCATGCCGTTCCACTGGCCCTTGTCATCCTGGGAGCCATATTTCCCATCAGGCACCAGACGGATCTCATACGTGAAGCCCAGGATGTTGGCCAGCTCTTTTAGCAAGTCGATGCAGAATCCTTCGAAACGGTCGTTCCCAACCAGCGCCTTGTCAGATTTCTTAAGCATGACATATGGCTCCTCCTGCTCAGACCAAAAAGATCAAATGAAAAGCAATGGTGAGGTCAGCTTTTTCAATTTGTTTCAGCACATGAACCTAATTGAAGCAAAGTGATCTGAGCTGACGAGTCGCTGTTGCATTTAACAGGCAGTGACAGCAGATTCAAGTACACAGTGTGGATATAGGCAGTGGTAAAATATGAAAGAGGGCTGAGGTTGTTCCTACATTGAAGTATTAAAGAAACGGGACCTGAGCTATAACAAGATGGTAATGTAAAGTAAAAAATGTATATTGCAGGTATTTATATCAGCATCTAGTGATTGTTATAGTGATGACAATGCACACAGAAGGAATATTTATATTACCAATGAGCTTAGTTAGTGTTCAAATAGCTAAACCTACTGTCTCCCACTCACTGACCTATATAGCTGGTGTACCGTTTATTTTGTGGTCAGGTAGCTGACACTCTTTACTGGCCTGTAATATCCTGCCCGGATGCTCATAATTTAAGCTGTATAAAAGCTTGATTAGGAACAGAATGCAGCAGTGTAATGGAACATAGCCACTGTGTTGCCTTCATCAGTTGTCACCAACCTCCAAGGGAGAGCAACGGAGCTGATGCCTGCAGTGACAATGACTAACGCAGAACCGCTCATAAATGATTTCCTTTATTTAGTGGCTGTTACCATTTCTCTGCCAGATAGACGAGCATATCTCACTGTGCATTTCAAAACATGTTGGTGTGTTTATGCAAAAGCTGTAATACAATTTACTGCCTCCAATAGCAAGATGTATAATTTACAAACTGAGCTCAGACGCAGGGTAATTGATTCTCTATCGAAGGTGACCCCTTTCTTTATATTTTTTCCCTCAGCTGTAGCTGGTAGAGCACTAAAGAAAATGATGTAGTCAAGGAGGAGGAGGGAAGAAAAAGTCACAGTACTCTTTTAGTCCCCCAGAAAGTTATTTTAGGAGAAAATAAGAGGTGTTAAAAGCATAGAGTGGGAATTTTTTTTTTTTTAAATTTTACACTTATAATTCTGTTCAGTTGTCTGTAAAAGAAGGTGTAAAGCAACCCCAGTATCAAGCAGGCAATAATTTATTTTACACATCCTAGTTAAACTTACATGCCCGTAAAAGTGTTCAGTAAATGCTCAAGATCTTTGTTTGTCTACAAAATATGAAGCTACTTGGACATTACAATCGGGATGGCCTTTTAAATAAATAATAAGTTATGAATACTTGATGACAATGCATTCCGAGAGCAAGTGCTTAGCAGCAAACTTTGCTCAAGTTGTCCAATTAACTTGATCAAAAAGTTTGCATGTTAAGGGAGAAAGTCATTACCATCTGTTTCTAGCCTTCCAATCCTTGCTATTCCCCAAGGTTTTAACTCAAAGCAAAGTGTTTATACCAGTTCTATGCTCACAATCGCAGCATGGGCGTGCATAACAGAAAGGGAAGGAAGGTGGGCCTGCGCAGAGACATTACAGGCAATGGAGTGCAAACAATTAATGTAAGGGGAAAAACACATTAAGTGCCTTAATCTCTTCTACGAAGTTATCACTATAAAGCTGTCAGACGTCTTGTTCATGCTTCACTGGAATCAGTTTGATGCAATGCCATTACACTAAGACGTGAGATTGATATTAAAGCTGGAGCTTCTTAAATTTGAAAATAGTCAGTTTTATGATCTTAAACAAATGATATCCAAAGAAAAAGCAAATTAAGGAAAATGTTGGAAAATGTTAGAAATACTCTTTAAGAAGAAAATGAAGTGCAGATAAAAAAATCCAGAATCTACATCACTCTCACAGAAAGGAGTCTGTAACTACTAGTGCTAGCATATTTTAGTATAGCACTAAAATCCTTGTTTCATGTCTCCTGTATAAGACAGTATTAACATAGATGCCACCTGATAGGCATTAATTATATCCCACCTTGACCTCACTTCTCATAATTATAGCTTTGTAGTCCAATATAGGCTTAATAACAGTGTTTATCATAGTAGCTTGTGTAGCTGTCCCAAAGGGGTGTACAGGCGAACATCTGTGCAAGCACCTTCCTGATAGCTATACAAAAACCCCAACAGCCAGTGACAGTGTTAAGTACATACCACTGGGAATCTACAATACTGTACAAATGAAGGTAATGTGGATCTGGCGGAGGGCTTGCCAAGTTCTTTTTATCTGAACATGTAATTAATGCATTCTCAGGAATAGTTTATTGTAGCACTGACTCTTTTGTTTCCTTTTTTTTTCTTTGCCCCAGGGCTTCTCAAAACTGACAGGTCTGTGTTGTGTAGTTGCTTTTGCTATAAAAAAAAAACCAACCTAATATAATATCTATGATTTGTGTCAGTATTTGTGTTATTTTTAGAATTGTCAGCACAACATATTACTGTATCTAGCAGCCACTTCTCTTCCTTATAGTGCAGTATATTCAGTATAAAGCACGCCTAAAGAATTCTAACCAAACCAATGTGTTATCTATAAGACGGACAACTGGGAAGGTATGAAGAGTAGGGCATATTTTACGCCAGGCTACACAGGTGACCTACCAGGATGGTGGTGATGACAAGGGAGCGGTTAGCCAGAGAATCCGTGATGTTCATCCCTTTTCGCTTCGGCACTTCTGTGATGTTAAGACCTCCAGACGCACTCCACTTCCCCACCTGTGCAAAAGGAAAAGTGTGTAGCTAAGTGTTCTTTTTCTGTTGATCAGCAATGACCTTAGCAGACTCTGCCGGCAACCATCTCCCACATTAGTGCCAGGCTGAACACATCTCTGGCAGCATTAGATGATTGGCTGAGTCACCTTTTATCAGCAGGCCAGTGTATTTTGGGGAGTAGGGGGTTAGTTAAGCATTAAGCATTATGGGTAAATCAAAGAAACTGGAACAATGAACTGCAATGCGATAAGTCAGATCAATCAAATCACATCAAAACATTTTTATATAAATGTAGAATCTATGTAATATGAACATGTGTACAGGAACGACTGTGTACTAAACCAATAGTAATATTTGTAATATTTGAATATTTCAAATATTACAACAAGCTCACAGTAAATTTAAATGAAGATGGAGAATGTGGATGCCATTAGGACTGCATTGTGAAAGTAATTTTGCTGTACAGCCTCAGATAAGCCAAGAGATTTGAACAAATAAAAGGAGTTATACATGCATGAAGCCCTGAAGCAAAAAAAACTCTGCATATTGTAGAGACACTCTCTGGAACATATCATTAGCACAAATAGTCCTGTGGCTGTCGGTAACAATCTCTGTTTGCAAATCGAGCTCTCCACCAAACCCTCCTCCCATTCTTCCCTCTTTCTCTATTACTAGAGACAGAGCTTTTAATATTTGCTGGGATTTGTGCTTGAGGTGGATCCATTTGAAAACTTGCTCCCCACCCCCACCCCAGAAAAAAAGCATGAAAAATGTTTGTTAATGTCCTCCCTGCCTAATCCAGATAAAGGCATATGCTCTAATTTGAAAAGCACATTAGTTACAGCTTGTCACACAACCAAACAGGACTCCAGGAGAGAGATTTAAAAATATCTGAATGCTTTCCGCTTTGCAAAATTCTTTCTAATTGTACCCAATTACAATTAGCTCAATTCATTAAACATGATTAGCAAAAGACTGGATTCAAAAGTTATTTACTCATGCATCCACACGGAGAGCATTACATTTATTTCACCCTCCTGAGCATGCCAGTGTTGAGTGAAAGTGGCAGTCTGAGAACCTGTTCATAATTCCAGCGTGAGCTCAAACTTAGGCTAATATTCAATTACAATGGATTAGTTGAGAAAAAAGTCCACATCTTAATAGGCTCAAACAGTCAAAGCCGATTCCACGGATATACAAGGGGAAAAAAAAAATTCCAGCAATCTGCAGCACGCTGCCGGATCAACCCTAGCATGCATTAGAGTGGGATTTGTCAGATGCACAATGACAATGCACTAATATGGCATCAAATACTTTTAGGAGATGACTGCGCTTCAACTTAATTGACCACATGCAGGACAAGATGCCAATAAAAGAGGGAAGAAGAATCATTTCAAAGCTGCAGTATTACAAGCTTCATTCTGGAACAGAGGAGTTACAAGCTGAAAAGCCCCTGCTATTATATATTCTTGAGCCTTTAGGGAGTACTTGAAGAAGTCATAATGGGACTTATCCCTATTTGATGTATTCATAATGTATGAAAGCCTTTTAGTAGAGAATAGCTGTTGTAATCCAGAGGCCTTCCAGTATAATAAAATAAGTTCTCCAGTAGGAACCTTTTAGTCCCCCACACCCCCTTTTTGTGTGAAACATGTTTATACAGCTCATTAACACCAAACAGCATTTTGGGCATCACCTCAAATTATCATTAAGAGAGGCAGCAATTAACACCCTAATGTGTACCCTAATCCAATTTGCTTTATGATCCACTAACTTATGCTTATGTTGAAACAGCCAATTTGCTTCCTTGTTAGGAGGTAAATGATATTGTCAAGTGTGCGTGTATTCAACATTAAAAAAATCTGAAATATGTATATATATATTTTAATGGGCAATTTTATATATTCTTTTGATGGAATAGTCATAGCAGAAATTCTACATTTTATATACCCCTTGCCGTGAAACATTGCTGTATGTTTCACCTCATCTAACACGGATTTACATTAAACAATAGTTACCTTTTCAAGTCCATCCTCCTTTAGACTGATGATGTCCAGGTCAAAGTCTGTACGTAGACCAGTTGTTTTGTTGAAGGACAGTCGACCCGTCAAACCATCCCAGTGGGACTGAAAGATAAAATATCTACATATTTTACCCAGAATGAGCTCAAACTACCCATGTTTCCAGAATTTAGTGCTATTGCATACCTACTTTCTGACACCTATATACAGTACACATCTACCCATATATCTGTATATAATATTTTGATTGTACTGCTCCTACATGTTTCAAAAACTAGAAGGTGCAAGGTACTTCAACAACAGTAAGAAACAACAAACCGGAGAAAAATATTTAAGTCCTATCAACAAAACACACTACAACATACTTTGACGTTCACGGAAAGCAAATTCACACCCACGCAGACATGAACCAAAAGTACAAACACAAATCACGCAGGCTGCATTTTCTTTTTTAATTACATTTTACATTTCAATGCCTCCAACGCATTTTCCCTTCAGACTATGGAGTTAATTAACAACCGTCTCCCTTTGCTTGATTCCCCATGAGGGGAAAAACATACAACTGCCCCCTATTATGATTCCCTGATACCTGCCACCTCCACAGACGTGTGCACAGGCAAATACATGCAGGCCCGTACTAAATACACGAACATCCCCCAGACCATTGCAGCAATCATAAAAAACTCAGGAAGTAACTCCCACCCCAGTGTGTACACCACAGCATTGTAAGGTTTTTTTAAAGGGTCTTTGTACATAATGAATCTTTACATATCATAAACACTTTTCTGATGTTTAAAATCTAAACTGTGACAACACTACAGGCTATAGCTGTCCAACCACCATGTAGCTTGCCAGAACATGAGAATATTGAGGCTTCAAGGAAAAATTTGTGGCACTCTGCTTTTCCAAACACTGTCATACCTCATTCCCACTGGCCTATTGCCATATAGGTGGGTGGCATGTTCAAGCAGCTCTAATTCAGAGAGTGACATAAATGCGTCAGCCATATCACATCGAAAGGGCGAAGTCGACCTTCAGAATATGTCACACTCCTGTCTTGAAGTAAGCGTAAATTAGGCCTGAGTTTAAGCTTTCATTACCTAAGACTTAAGATGTTTGCATAAGAACAGCCATGTAATAATATTGAATTTACTTTAATCCTTTCAGGAAAGCTAACACTGGCATTTTTTAAACTAAATACTGCAGACACACACAGACACCAGATGTTTGTAAGATATAGGGTGTGCAGACTTTGCAGGCAAAGAGAATTGTGTCTATTACTGCATCTTAAACAGCAGCGGGATTTTATAGCTCCTGTTCCAGTTGGCAACGTGTAGCCAAAAACTAACAGAATATATAATATCACATTTCAGTGCATACTATATGTAGTAAATTCCTAGTGTTGTTAAATGGTTAAAAACAGCAACATTGTGAGTAAAAGGTGAACCACATTTAAATGTTTAGTGAAATAACTTTAATTAAAACTAATTAACTGACTTTAATTAAAACTGCTTAATATACAGTTTACCCATCTTCACCCGTCTTCCTTTGTTCTATGAATCAAATGATCCACACATAAATGATCCAGTTTCTATTTACAGAGTCGTCTAAAATGAAATGAACTGAACTCAGATATGTGTGAAAATAAAATACTGCAAATACAGTCTTAGTGTGCTTTATCATTTCAGGTCTCTTCAAGTGTACTGCTGGGAAGTCTAAGACACATAAGCACATGCACTGCAATCCCTGCCACTAAGAAAAAGGCATCTCCAGGCAACTCAAAAATCATACCACCTTATATTTCCACTTGAGACAAAAAAAGTGTTTCCTGTTCAGCAAAGTGAGATGATGATTTGGCTATAACACTGTATTTGAATGCTTACTGGGAGTCTACTACCATTTATAGAAAGACCAGACCAGAATTTGTTCTTTCAAGTATGCCATCTGTTGGTGAAGCAAAGTCTTGGAGGAGCTACAAGTCGTGGCCATTTAAAACCTCCCACACACCCCCACTTTCTTTCTGAAAGCAATGCATTAGGGCAAACAAAGGTTATACTTATTTTCCTTTGGAGCCCCAATTCCACTTGTGCTTATCACTGAATAAGGCTGCAAGCCAGATGATGTTTTCTCTGCACTTAATTTTCCTGGTAATCTAGACTAGAAAGGGAGTGGCAACTGATATTTGGGGTTGTCCTGCCCAACAAATGGACCACACAAGGATCTATAGACACGTCTACTCTTCCCTCTCTTTGCAGCTTGGTTGCAGATACAGATCAGTGGACATACATTAATGAGAGAGACTGTTTACTCGTTGCTCCCTTGCTGCTTTTATTAAAGGCAAAGTGGAGTAAGTGAAGCAGCATGACACAGGGAACATGTTTTTTTGTTTTTTGGGGGGGACACGTGAAGGTGACCATCCACAATGACAGCTGTATTCTGATTTCGTCCTACCTATTTTCAGCGTTGGGTTTAACATATTTCAAAGAAACATAATGTACGTCCTCATTTTATGTCGCTGTGTAGGACTGTAACCTGAGGATTATATCATTAACTGGCAGTTATGTTCATTTCAAGTCAGTATACAGAGTAATATGACTGTAATATAACGAGTAGTGTATTGAATTACTTTCTCTGAGGAGTAATTAATTAAGTAGCATACTGCATTTTTTTAGGAAAAGTAATTACGTAACAGTAGGGCTGTGCGATATGACCAAAATCTCATATCCCGATATAAGAATTCTATCG